CTTTTGGTTTGCAACCTGGGGCCCATGGGTGGTTGTCCAGTAGTTTGCGCATTTGTGTCCATGCTTTCGGGTGAGTAACCTGAGGAATCCTGCTTCCCCCACTCAACATGGTATGACTTCAGGTTTTTCGGGGCATAGGTGTCCTTTTGGTTGGTTTGCTTAAAAAATAGAGGGCCCTGGTTTAGTTGGGGTTGATTCCATTTACCAGGGCCATCTATTTTTCCAAAAGGCCACCTATGTTTCGGGGTGGCAAGCACTGGATCCCCATGGAGGTGGATCAATAGGTGGGGAGGGCTTCATTACCCACCTACGTGCCGTGGCCTTCGAATGCAGAACATGTCCTTCCCGAGAGGCGCCTCGGACGGCACGCGCCCCTTGAACAATTCAAAGATCCTCATCTCAGGTGCCCTTGGGGGGTCCTCATATTCCAAAAAAAAGTGCGTAACTGAAAACGAAAAACAAAAGATGCGAACGTCCAACTCATGGAGCTGGATGAGAGACAAAGCCACAAGGCTGCAAGTTTGCGCCTCTTAAAGTCAGCTTCACCAGCTGACTTCGCGGATCCCGGGAAAAGCACATGGTTTGTTCATGTATACCGGAGCCCCGTGGTGGCCAGCGTTTTTAGCCCAGGCGATGGGCGCCCATCCGTGAAGCGGCGTCGCCTGATGTGAGGCCTGCCGGCCGTTTTGGTTGTTTTGCTTCATCTTCATCTTAAACAAAATAAACATAAGCAAACAAATGACATAAACATCAAGCAACATAATAAGTGTCCATGTTCTTCTCTTTCCATTTTTGTTGGGGGGCAATGTTTGGTTGCATCTTTTTCCTGGTTGCCCTTTACTAGCATGATGATGACAAGTATTGAAGTCTTCGCGAGCATCAACCAAGTTGAAGGCTCGCAAATCGTGGGTTGGAAGCAATCATATAGTGAGTTTGTGGATAAAGCTGAGGTGGCTTCGTTCTTCAAGAGACAAGATGAAGAGCCAACATCTAGCTTCACGTCGCAGGGGATGGATGTGGCCACTTAGCAATTTACCCTTTTTGAGGGAACCCTTTTTGGGGTGGTTTAAAATGGAAGCCAAAGTGGGAGACCACCATTTTTGGGGTCCGCTATTCTGAGACCAACCCATTGAAAGTTTGAGTCACGGCATGTTTTGAGTCACGGAATGTTTCCAGAGCCCACAGGCTCTTTCAATGGTTCTAACCTTTTGTAACTTACAAGAGCAGCCATCCAATGCAAAAAAAGAAAAAGAAGCAACTCCAGATCCGCGGACAATATTGTGCATTGCTCTTGCTTTGCAGCAACCGGCCTCACACAAATGTGACAACACTACGACAGTCCGCCATGTGGCCATCAATTGGCATAGAGGTCCTGCCCTGGCTGTTTCAGGCCGGGAGCCCGATCCACTCATGCATCCTTGCCGAAACTGAGATCTCGTGTTGAGGTCGAGACTTTGATCCTTGTCTCAAAGTCGTAGATCCTTATCATTTTTTGATTTTTTGGGTGATCTTCAAGAAGCTTTCTTGCACTCCAAGCTGTGACTTGTTAGGGCCGCGGCCCAGGACGCCGAATGAGAGGGGAAGCCGCGCGTGGGTGCAACAGAGACGTGTCAGGCCTGCGGTCGGATGTCAGACATATGCAAAATTAGGCCGAACGAATGAGAATGGGGTGGTGTTGTAATTACCTTAGAGCCCAACTTGGTCAGGATTAAAGAATGGTAATGCGTAACCAATTCGCCCCGTACCACGAGTGGCAGCTTGTACAATGAACCAGATTCCTTGAGCTGACATGACAATGCTTGTGAGCAGAGCTTCCAAAGTCCTTGGTGGCACATATGAAGATGTCTTTGTCGGGACACGAGTTGGTTGGTTTTAGAGGGAAACCAAAGGGAGATCTCCAACCACTTTGAAGTCTCTAGTCTCATGATAGACACAACCACATGTTCAGCAACAAATCAAGCTATACTCCTTGGATGCTTTTGAGGCGTTTGATACGTTAAACACTGACACCTTAAGTTCTTAATGACTATTCTGGTGAAAGCAATCTCTTTGGGTTTGAAGCACTGCTCCCACGCTAGACATTTGATCGCTCGCGATTCGATCTTGCTGTCTTGGGGGCTCTAGGCCAGAGACTCATCTCCCAGTCGCTTGAAGTAGCCACTTGGTACTGCGAAATTTTGTTGAGCAGGAACCGTTTTTGTTTCTTCTATTTTACTAGCCCCCAGCCGGGCTTAGCCCCGTCCAGGGGACTGGTCGGCCGTTTGTGATTCTTGTTTTCTTCTTATATATATATATACATATATATATAGATATAAACACCTCAACCCCTCGGTCGGGACCTTGATCACTGTGTCGGGTTGCGTTTTTGTGCCGGTCACCCAAGGCATCTAGAGCCCGTACAGTGCCTTTGCGCTGCGCTGGTTTAAACTGGCACGTCAAACGCGCGCCAGAACAGCCAATGACAAAAAGCCGCTTGGGGATTGGGGAGGTTGGGTAACGTTGCAAAAAAACACAACAATTGCGTATAAAGCGTGTGAGTCTATTGGATCTTTCCCTTGTGGGTCACACAAACAAATGCAACAAGCCAGGAAACACGCGGACCAACTCTGAGATTAATTCGAGCTGCCTGCACTTGCAAAGTGCATCCCATGCAGCGACAAAGGCAGCAATCAAGCTTTTGGTCTCGCAGCTAAACTGGTTGGGCACTGGCGGGCCCGGTGGGTGACAGATTCACGCCGAGGCTTTCTTTGCTCGAGGTATCATGGGAGCTGGGTAGCTCCAAGTTTGCCCTTCGGGATTTCTGGTGCGGAAGTCCTTTACGACAAATCTTCGTCTGCCATTGTTGCAAGCAGCACGAATGCGCGAGGCCCACAAACATCCATGGGCCATGGGCCATGGTAGGCGGTTTTTCTAATTACCTGGTTTCGTGGAGCGTACAATGAGGCCGTAAAGATCGATTATGAACAGATCTATCTTGGTAGAGCCCGACAGTCAGCGGATTTGGGGTCCCTGGGTCATGACCCGGTTTGGTTAACAGTTCGGCTGGTTTGTTGTTTTCTGGACGACTCTCTACGTAGCAGTTTGGTGGGGCGGGTGGTAGGAGCAAAATAGGAATGGCAGAGATTCCCTCGTCTTAGGCAGCCTTTTCCCCCTACCCCGCGCTTCAAGTTTTTACTGTAGTAGGTTTTACCATGATGTTTCCCCTTACCGTAGTAACCAGAAGCACTGGGCTGGTTGGCCGAATCTCAGAGACTGCAGCCATATGGCCCATTCGCAACATGAGCAACTTGATCAGCAGCGGTTGGCAGAATAAAAGGTTTAAACAACCAGCCTCTGTTCCCCTTTTGGAGGGACGACAACAGGGAGGTTGCTTAAAGAGTGGTTTAGAAAACTGAAGGCATGGCTTCAACAAGGGGTTGGTCCAGCCCTTTAAACAAGCGTTCCTGGGCTATGCACATGCAACACACGAGGAAGTTGCAAGTGCTGCACTGAGAGCCTGGCAACTTGAAGTGGCATTGCCCTCCCAGAAAGCCTGCAGTGCTGCCTCCAATTCCTGCGTGGTGGAATTGGCATTGTTATGTTGAACGCTTGCCGGTATTTTTAGTTTGTCGCCGTTTTCCTGTTGGCGGCTCCTGTGAGACCTAGTCTTAAACATCATTGTTGCGGCCTGCAAACGGTAAGTCTACCACATGGCGGGCCCATGCGACTGCGATGTGGTGATTGTTGGAGGACGCTGGGAGCTGAAGATGGGCCAAGTTTTACAGAGCTTTTGCTTGCAGCTAATACGTGCTGGTTTGGAACCGGCGCTCAGATTATACACCCTGGGTCAAGTTGTAGCGAGCTTAGCTGCGGAAAACCGAGCTCATGATGAAGGTCCTTCACTTGTGGTTTTGCTACTTTTCTCTATTGATAGCCCTCTTCCTGCATGCATTCCTGCGTGCGTTCGTGCTGATTGGTCTCATATTGTTGGACCCTCTTTACTGTGCTCCTCCCTCCCCCTGAACAGTGGAGCCAGTCAGCGGGGCGCTCTCTAGTAAAAAAATCCTGGGGGTCTGGGTAAGACTTGAACTTGAGTAGTGCCAAGACTAAACTTAGTATTGCCAAGACCTACTCTCAAGTTCCCCGCATGTTACTTCAGTATTGCCAAAACCATTTTGTATTACCAAGTCTAAATCTAGTATTGCCAGGACCAACTTCCAGATTTCCTGTACTTACTTTAGAGTTGCCATGTATTGCCAATTCTAATTTAGAAGAGTTCAGCAAACCCCCAAAGAAGCTGGAATTAAAAGGACCCCAAAACAGTCACATTTAACAGGATCCGGGCCCCTTTTGAGCAATCCCCTGTGTGTGACTGTTTGCCCATACTTTTGTGTACAGAAGTTATCTTAAATGTGATGGTCTAGGGACCTCTTCAAAGAACTTAAATTCCTAATGTTGGCCCGGATGTGCTTGCCATGTTTTTGCCCGACTTGTTTGACCGTGTTTTTCTTCGTTGTTGTTTTCTTTTTTTATCCGCATGTTTCCGACCAAAAACACTTGCATGCCACAATAATGGAGGACCCCAAAGCATGTCACGGTATCCTGAATTAGAAAAACAACTTTCTGCAATAATAGAGGACCCAACTCAAATTGCGGGTCTAACATTACTCCAGATTTGGAACAGCGTCCCTGTTCTTGCGTCGGGTTGTTTGAATCTGACTGGAGGGCAATGGCAGGAGTTCCTAATATGACATGGCTGTTGAGGCAGGCACAAGGTAGGCTCCGTACCAGCGCAGCTGCATCACATCGCATAGAACCAGACAATGGCTAAGGGGATCGAGAATGCGGGATATCAGAGATAAGACTCGGCCGGGAAAATTAACATGAAACCAACTAGAAGGCTTACGAATGATTCCACGTACACGGGCTTCACTCCGTGTTGCGAGGATCTCGCCATCGCCTGTTGCTCAGGACATGGATGGCAGATTTGTCAGCTCAAACGAACCTCGCATCCAGCTGCCATGTTGCGGTTGGGCTTGCTTGCCTGCCTTGGTGTTCTCTTGGAAGATTATGCTGGAGCTTCCGATCCGCCCCTTCTCAGGGGTGCCGACACGACTCGCATGAATTTCCCGGAGGAGATGATTGATGGCTTGATGGAAGACTTCGCCGCAGCTTTGGAGCGATTCTACCAGTCGACGTTTGGAGATCCCAGCCCTGTCAGGAAGTATCTCAACGTGGTGACCAGAACATCCCCCTTCGTGGTTCAAGCGGCCGCTTTGTCCTTCTGGGCGTACGACTTGGACTACTTCGAGGGCCGATGGGCCTCCGAGGATTGGGCTGGTGGCTGGAGGGTGGTGAAGAAATACGTGAACACCACCAGCAAGTCTTTGGCTCCAGGATTGGATGTGGTGGCGCTGTTCCGGCGCCAGGATGAATGTGTCCTGTCCTTTTCTGGCACCACCGGTTTAGCAGATTGGACCACCAACTTGAATGTCAAGAGCCTGCAAAGTTTGGACGAATGCGGACTGCACAACGTCCCTTGGCGGTTCCCAGTACCCGTAGACTGTTTTCGCTGATGCTCAGTAGAGAATGAGGGAATGAACCCAGGGGTCCCCTCAAAGGAAACCACAAGGCATGGTTTATAGGGGTCGTCCCCTCATTCCCTACCTATCGCACATGCTGAAAACCGTTTGCTCAAAAGGACCGAACCGCTGAGGTCCATGAAGGCTTCTTTGAGGACTTCGTGCAGTTCATGTTGGGTGATGCCTGGAGTGAGGGCATGGAGGAAGAAATCCTCTCCAAGTGTGGAGGAGGGGTGGCAACAAATTGTGGAAACAGCCAGACCCTACTTCCGCCAAAAGAAGGTTGCCGAGAGGGGCTTTTCAACCATGGTTTCAACAATTTCAACACTGATGGATTAAGGCGATGAATGAAACATGTTGGTTAAACAACATGTGCTTCAACATTAAAAGTGTTGAGTATGTTTCAGAGGGAAACCCAAAGGAGGTTGTTGAACCACTAGGTTTTGAACCACGGTTTCACGGTTTTCTTAAACAACAGAAACAGTAGTGGTTTAAGCAATTATGCACAATTGTGGCTTAAACAGGTTGTTTGACCAACAGGTGTTCAATTTAACCATGGCTCTAGCAATGTAAAACAAAAGTGGCTGCTTAGACACAAGTGTTTCAAAAGTAGGTTGATTGAGCATTATTGTTTCTTCAACATGTTTCTGTTTGCAAAAGGAAATCGTGCTGGAATTGTGTGGGTTTACAGATGGCTTAGACAATGTAAGAATGTGGTTCAAAAGGAGGTTAGTTGCGCAATCGGTTGTTTTGTTGTTTAGCGACGTCCTTTCTTTCGTATTGTTCTTTTTTGGATTGCGACGTGACCGTGATGAAGGGTTCCTGAAGGCTCCCTTAATTTTAGTTTGTGGATGCTAACTGTCCTATGGCTGAACCATTGGATTTTACCATGTTTACTCGGGATCAAGGCGGTTTTTAATACTTTGATTTTTCAGATGAGCGCCCATCATTTCCTTAACCAATAGATCTTGGAAACTGGCTACTAGTCAACTCTACTGGAAGTTAGCTGACCGGTTTGGGCTCACTTGCAAAACTGTTCTTAACGCGTTTCCGCGGTCCATGGATTAGAGGGGTCGACCCGCTTGCAAAGCTCCTGTAGACATGTTGTTGGGCTTTAGTTCCTGTCAGACCTCCTGTAGCGTTTCTGAGAATTCCTACTTCCCGTGGCTTCCTGTAAGATTTCACATGAAGTTCCTTTTCCAAGAAACCTTCCTGTACAATTCCTGTACCTTCCCACCAATTAACATGGAACTTCGACGTTCGGGGGTCCCTTTAAAAGGAAGGTGGTCCTGCAGACTTGCAGAAACCCCCCCTGTCAGGTTCCATGCTTTTTGGGCGGGAGGGGTATCTTGTCCATTTCAGAACCGGCATTTGGACCCCGCGCCCCTCCCTCCCCTCCCCGCCCCCCCTCGGATTTTCGGGGTCCGCCGATCCGTCAACCCATGGGGCGCGCCGATCCGTCGCAGGCCGCTTGTCGGTGGCTGGGCACTCGCAGGGCGCCGCCCTAGCGGAGATCTTCGCCACCTGCGTCAACCGGGCGGACGAGGTGACTCCGAGAGAGCATCCATCGATCGCCCCGAGAACTGGGCTTCGGTTTTTGGCTGCTTCGGACGTGCTTTTGCCTTTTTTTTTGGGGGGGGAAGACGGGGGAGTGAAGAGTTGATGCTTTTGTTGGTGCATTTTGGCGCATTTTGCCAAGGGATGTTAGGACTTTGACTTTTTGCCAACTAATGGATTGGTTTTCCGTATTAGACCACTAGAAGTTAGTAACTTTTTGCAGGGGAGGACAAAGCAACCGAGCTTTGGACGTTTTTTTGGCGGGGAGGACGGGGGAGTGAAGAGTTTATGGCTTTTTGGGGGAAGGCATCTTGCTCTTTGGGCGTCTTTGGGAAGGCCAGTTTGGTGTCGGCATTTTTTTCAGGAAGTGAGCTGGCCGTGGGTGTTTAACATGGGAGGACTCTCCCTACAAAAAGACCCTCTGTTGGGTTCCAATGTGATTTTGAAGGGGAGCAAGATAGCCCGGTTCCAAGTGCCCCGCATTTAATAGGCTTATAGGTGGGGATTCGCAGGGGATTCGTGAACTTCAGGTTCCTCAAATCCTCAAATGTGAGGCACTTGGACCCTTAGGACCCCAAACCTGATTTGCTTTTGGTCCTGTAAACACATCCCAAAACAGGTACCCACAAAGACACACCAGGGCCAATCTTTTAGGCCAGCTTGAAGTGACTTGCCTCTAGGTGGCGTGATGTTTAAAGCCGAAACATAGGGACGACCGTGAAACGACCAAAAACACAGAGGTATTTGTTTTGTTTTCCTGGTACACCCTTGTCAGAAGAAGAACTGACTAAACCCTACTTTTCTGAACCTTAGAACGCCAAATTCGTCTTTATTGACCCGCTTATATGGCTGTGGGTCAAAACCAATGGTACCATTTTGGGGGAGGTGCACCACCCATTTTAGAATCTTCACTGGTATGATTTGCATTTTGGCCCTTGGCCAAATAGGCGTCTCTACAAGCCCAAAAACGACTCGTCGTAGCAGAGCCAGCGGTCAGGTTTTGGGGCGCTCAGGTGAGTTTCCCGGATCTTTGGCGCTGGGGACAGCTGGTCCACCCCGGGCGGAGGGTCTCAACGCGGGTGACCGTCACAGGCCACGGGGAGGGGAGAGACACGGCGTGGGTGTTGCTCCAACTAGGTCCCCCAGTTGTGCCATTTCTCACTTCTTTTTTGGGGGAGGGTTCCCATAGACTAAATAGAAAGGGTACCCATATTCTAGCCTCTCTACTGGAGCCACAATCAAAACCCGGGTAGATGAAGGTTAGTAAAGGACAATCCCAACCCCAAATGGCTGCGGCCGGCTTCTTGATTCTTTACCTGGTTCTGGGTCGACTATTCTTATACCGGGCGTTGATTGTAACTCACGTGGGTGTTTCTCCCAATTGGGGACCACTTCAGGTGGTTTCCTTTTGGTTTCCCTTTAAAGCCATCCAAGAAGCGGCCTTCTACTTTGAAACACCCCCATGTGGGTCCGTCTTTTTTGAGGGTACCCCTTGTTCGGCTTTGAAGGGCATTGGAAACCAGCCATTTTTGCTGTTCCCCTATTTTGCTCACACATTTCGTAGTCCCGAAACAAGAACCAGGGGTTTTGCCACATGAGACTTTCTCTCACCATAGCTGTTCCTTCAATGGTCTAGGTCCCCCAGTAGTGCCCTTTTACCCTTGTTTTTGGAGAGGGTTCCCCCACTAAAATAGACTACAGAAAAAAGTTGGTACCTTTATTCTATCCTCTCCACTCAAAAACCTAGTTGTTTAGCTTGTCTTCCAGTTTTTTTGGGGCAGAGGACTCTATGGCGTCGCCTCTCCGGGTTCCACGGTGGACTTTCAGCTAAAGAACGGCGCGTCGCCCGGCGGCGTTTTCCCCGGGGCGCGACTTTTCAACATGGACTCGGAGACCTTCGACCCGGTGCCGTGGATCACGGTGCTCTTGAACTTCCAGCATGCGACACTCGGCGGGGCCGGCCCGGGTTTTTTTCCCGCAGCCAAGGACTTGGAGATGTGTAGAGTTGAGACGCATTTGTTGTTGTTTTTAGATATCGCCGCTTTTCCCATGATAAGCTGGATATGTTTCATACTATATCATATATTGGTTCCCCGTGCCTATGATCAAGTGGAAAAGGATCCAGCTGAGGAAGTATCAAGCCCTTCAACTTCTCCAACCGCATCAAGTGGTGAGTCACCAGGGAGATACGTTCGATGCTCGTTGGCAGCCACTGACCTCGGCGGTCTTCGGGAAGTTGATGTCTGTGGAGCATCACCTGGGGCCGGCGTACATGCGGCGCATTCTGGCCTTCACGCGAGAGGTGGGTGAATGTGTCACATGGCGATCCACTCCCTGAGTTCTTGTGTAGGAATACAATTTTTGTGGTAGATTGGAGTTTGGATGTTTTTTAGGGCTGTCCACTCAGGAAGTGAGGAAATGGTGACTTGCCTTTTGGCTTCCCTTGGAACCCGCCACTGAGATTGGGTACCATCAAAGTCCCGGCCAGGTGTCCATCACGATTCTGGCAGCCCAGAACTTGTCAGAGGAATGTCTCTTGGGCGGTATGACGCCGTACATTGAGGTGCAAGTTGATGAGGAGATCTACTTCACAAGACCAGTCGATGCAGGCTTGCTGGACGCAGTGTATTGGAACGAGACGTTTCCACTCACCACATATGAGCCAGGGAAGGCCATTCAACTCTTTGCATGGAATGATTGCACTATGGACTTCAAGATGGGAGGTGTGGTGTTGCAGAGCGCTCAGTTCGATCCTGCAGGTTTCGTCGGATGGCTTCCGTTAGACACGGGAGCCCAGTTGCAGGTCTCGGTGCAGGTTGACCACCTACGATTTTGATGTGCCGGCCAGGCGACTTTTGTGTTGGCAAGCACCTTGCCATTTCAATTTATCCAGGAGGCTAGACCAAACATAGTGGACTCGCTTTCTGGGGTGCACGTATGTATAGTACAGCAAGAACCAAATGCTGAGAATTCAAAAGACAGTCAGACAGTCAGGCTGATCAAAGTCATCTCAGTGCTAAGCACGCCATCGAGCTGACGGCTCGGTTTTTCTGTCTTTATGACTGCACATCCAGATACAGGCCTCCGAAAGTCAAAAGACAGGAGCTTCCATTGAGAGTTTGGCATGTGTTTCTTTTCTACGATTCCATCACAAGTTACGTTTCGGTTGCCTTGCTTGTAGACGATCATAGGTTATCCATTGCTGTATTGCTGTTATGCACTTGTCAAATTCATCGTACTTCAAAATGCCGCGCCAGGCTTCCGGTGAGGGATGCGAGCTGTTCTATGAAAGGCGAATTACACGGCTTGCGACTTGTTTGCCGCTTACCCATGGATGAATTGTTGGCTTAAGTGCTCAGAAATCTGCGTGTTGGAGAGGGACATGGGCACTGACCTCCCCCATGTCCTTCATGGCACCTTGAAATACAAAATCGCCCCGCGAAAGATCCGCGACGGAGGCCGCGTTCGGCGAAAGATTCGGCGTTTCGGGGAACAATGAATTGGAGGCAACCAGCTGTTGACATCATGGCTTCAGACAAGTTAAGCAGTGGGTCCAGCCGCACTTGTTGTGGTCTCGGGACAGCAGCAGTTCCGCCAGGCCTTTTACTGACCGACTGCGTTACTCCATCGCCCAAGCAGTGGGTCTAAACAACAATTTCCACAAAGACCCCCTCGGAAAGGAATCCTTCACTACGAGGGGGTCGATCAATTGTCCACAAAAGGTTCCAGGGACACCTTCCCCATTCTTTCCAGGGATCCTTCTTTCCAGAAAACCTCCGGAAACCCGGGGAAAATGGATCCGGCTTTTGGAAAGAACGATGGTTGAAAAGAATGGAGAAGGAATCAACCCCTAGACGCGGTTTTCTTTTGGTTTCCCTTTAAAGGCATCCAAGAAGCGCCGTCTATTTTGAAACACCCCCATGTGGGTCCGTCGTTTTTGAGGGTACCCCTTGTTCGGCTTTGAAATGGAAACCAGCCACTAGAAAGGTGGCAAACGACCCCCCGGTTCAAATCGGTTCACCCATCCAGGAGGCGTGGCGGGGCTCAGCTGCGGTTTGGCGCTGCTGCGGCACGGAAGGTCGTGCTCGGTGCGGCTGCTGGAGGTCCAAACGCGGCTCGGGGGGAGGCTCTGCACACGCCAGGCGCCTTCGGCGTGGGTTGGGAGACCAAATTCTTCCATTTGTTTAAGAATATTTGTTACTTTCCTCTGTTGGTTTTAAAAGGAATCAATCACTACTTGAACTATTATTAACTTTTCCAGGGGGCTTGAGCAAATGGAATAATTTGGTGGAAAGCAACCAGGACCGCCTTTACTTGTGAGGCCAGGAAGCCAGAAAAGCGATGCTGGTTCAACATGGTTCAAGAATAGTTGGACAAGGTGTGGTGTAAAGAGTGTTCCTAGAGTCTTGATGGCTGTTGACAAATGGGGGGGTCACGACCCCATGTTGGAAGGGTCAAGACTCCAGCCGGGTGTTTCGTTTGGAAGGGGCTCTCAACTTACTTTTGAACCCATTCACGAAATGATAGAATAGTAACATTTCTTCTCCTTTTCCTCCTCCTTTTCTTGTTTGGCTTCGTCTTCTCGGCGAGCTCGATTTTTGCGGCTCAGTTTGGTTAACTCATGTGGCCCAACTTGTTGGTCAATCGGAACCTGAAAAGTTCGGCTTTAGGAAGCGACATCAGACTTCCCGCTTGGATGTAGGAGCAGGGTAGCAGACGGTGTTCTATTGCGAACGAATTGTCCGGCCACTCACAGTCACACAGTTTCTTTGACCATTGTGTTGGTTGTCAAGTGAAGCCCCAGCATCCGCTGTATGCTCAGGAGTTCAGTGTTGGTGTTCATGGAGAAGCCATCCGTTTTTCCCATTCTTCGCAATGTGTGTGTCATCAAATACTATTAGGAAAATTGGGAATTCCTGCTTTGGGTGGTTTCCCATTGGCTTAAAACTCAAACAAGGGATGGCTACCTTTCACCTTTGTGCCTATGCTGTTTGTTTGATGGCCTACGGAGTCTTGCCAGCGGAAACCCATTTGATGTTTGGTCAACAATTCCAGTAGCATCAGGGAACTCACCAAATTTCCCGCAAAAACCAGGGGACGTCTTGGGCAAGCAGGTCATTTTTGGCGGCTCATTCCGGACGCAAAACATTGGCCAAAGTACTAGGGATGGCGAGGGTGCGGGGAATGCTGAGGATTTTCCTTTAAAAAAGGCGAAGGCTTTTGGGGAGATCAGTTTTGGGCAAAATTTGCCGGGTGTCCAAAACCCTGCAATTGTCCAGTGTTTTGGGTTCTTGAATGCTTACAACGCACGGTTTGTCCAGGTCTCCGGGGGTGCGGGGGGGATTGCCTTACTGTTCCCCAGCATAATTATGCGTTTAGAAGTCTATATGTCGGGTATTTGAAGGGGGGTGCCGCCTCTGTGTTTTTATATAAGTTGATTTGGACACATTGAGAAACGCAGGCTTTTTGAACGCTTCCGGATTACCATCTACACTTTTTTGAGACAACCCCATCGTGTTTTCCCTTCTTGCTCAAAGCACTCCAGGTTTCCTGAATGCAGAGCCTAGATCCAGAATGGCTGCCACTCTTTGTTGAAACAAATACGTATGTACAGGGAATATACAAATATATACATAAATTACATTGCAGTCTTGTAGCAAGATAAGTACGTTTGTCGACATAGACCGGCCGAGACTGGCTATGTCTACGCAGTTCTTGCTCATTCAAGAGCAAATTCTGCGTATCGCCCAAGTCATCGAACCACTTGCGGGGATGTTTCTGCTTGTTTCTTCCCCATTCTTTCGCGGGATGGTTAGTTTTCGTAAAGCATGCGGAGAAATGTGGAGGCATCCCCGAATTCTTGGCCAAAGCATCATCACCGGCCTGGGAATGGGAAGAAGCTTGCTGCTGGGGACTGCATGTTGAAGTTTGAGAATCTCTCGGAACACTTGTGGCTTGCGAGAAGGACAAGCAGCCAATACTGGTGAAGGTTCAGATTCTTGAAGATCCGGGATACTAGCCAGTTCGGACAAGTCGTTGAACCGCAGATGTTGTTTGAGGTGAGGCAATGTTGCCTCCATTCCTCCATTTCTTGGTATTCAAGCCTGTTTCTGGTTGAAACATTCCGGCCGTAGCTCATCATTGTGGAGCATCAAGACCCCAACAAAACGGATTATGACCCTACAGTGTGAGTTTATCCCCACTTTTAGGAGTCATGAAGACGGCAAGTATCTGAACGCTTCAGAGCCCCTCACAGGAGCAACGGGTGATATTTACTGTACTTTTGGGTGACTCACCCAAAATCCAATATTACTGTGGACAGCAATATCATAAGCATTGACTGTGGCTCATCTTGGACAGGTGGGCGACGTATTGGCAGACGCGGGCGGCGCTTGGGTGCACGGTATCGAGGGCAACCCTCTGATTGCAGATGGCTTCATCACACAAGAGGCTGGAGACTCGTTTCTTTCGCTCGGTTGGCTTCGTTCTCATGGCTGCGGGTTTTATGGCTGAGGGCTCCTCCCTGCATTGGTGCGGACCCACTACGGTGAGAGAACCATGCCTATGAGTAGATTTTTAAGAAGTGATACCCTCCAAAATGGTTGGTGAATAGAAATCCCCACCTAACTCCTCATGTTTGCCACAGGGTTCCCAATTAAACTTCACACCTGTATCAGCAAAGGTGTTCTGTCACCCCCGCTCCCCAATTGAAATCCGAAAGCCAGCCACATTTAGGCATTTGTCCGGCACCTGTTTGTTTCGGTCGAGGGGTGAACCCTCTGGAATGCAACTCAACAGACGGACTTCCCAGCAAAGCGAGCATTGGAAAGAGTATTTCCTCAGATTTGACAGGATATGGCCACCTGTAAAACTTTAGTGAGACCTCTAGACCATAGAAGCCCCCTCTCCCACTTTGCTCAGCTTATATAACTCAGACCGCGTCGTTCGGCTTGATCCATGTCAAAGGTGCACCAAACAAATTTCGCGCTGTTTGGAGTCTGGGTGTGAAGCCGCCTGGTATCGGGATTAGTAGATTTGATTTGGGGTCTTTTGCATCACCAAAGTTTTGCAAGCCTGAAAGCCTTTTGCTCTGATAGCTATTCTTCTCGATGCAACTGGGAAGTTCTTTTGCGAGAACCTTGCGTGACACATCGTGCACTCCGCACAACAGCAACCGCCCCTGTCCGCGCCGCTTCAGCGTTGGCAACCCGATTCTATGAGTCATCCTTTTCCTTTCTGTTGGCCATAGAACCTTCGCTTCGCCCAGGCAACTAGCGGGTACCTAGCCAATTCGAGCTCAGCATGTGGGGAATGCTCCATAGACACGTGTTGAACGCATGAATCTTATGAGGCACTTAGGTTGAGACAAATCTTCTTGTTCTCTCTTTCAACCTATGGGTCTTGGGTCTCCTCCGATCTTTTATGTATACTATAGTATATATATATACACACGTATTTTAATGTGAACAAACATGTAGCAGAATCTGAACATATCATATGCCACAAAATATGAGTACGCGGCCTTGGATTTGTGGCTCTCAGCCAGGACCTGGTCACCAGCAGCGGGCGAAACATTTGGCTTCACGGGCCCTGCGGTGGTGACAGCTGCAGCTTCAAGCGCTCTGAGGACGTCGGAAGTCTCGAATCGCTGGATTTTTTTTGTTTGGAGCTACCCCTTTCGGGGCTTGAGAGGGAAGCCGAATGCAAAACACAGCTGCTTTAATACTAGCTTTCCCATTTTGAGACAAACCAGCCCCACTTGATTGATACCCTCCCTTCCCACTAACATGGCACCTGTGGGTAAGGACCCCCTGTCAGGTGCCATGTTAGTGGGAGTGAGGGTAGTTGCTTTGACAATGAACCCGTCAAGCTTTGGGAGTGAATTGTCACTACAAGAGGCGCGTGAGAGCATTTGTTTTTAGCCTTTCGGAACATGGCTATGTATCCAAAGAGGGAACACCCCTAAAATGATTGGTTTCCTGTTGGTTTTTCTTTAAGCCAACCGCAGAAAGCTTCCAAAAAGCATATTTTACCCAGTTGCGTTCCCTTAACAACCATTTATCCCTCCTAATTTCCAGGGAACCTGATTCGCGTACCCAACTGGTTCGACGAACTCGCGGAGGAGGATGAAGTCTGGGAGCGGCGCATGGCGCGAGTGGGCGCGGTAGCGGCTGCGAGTGCGGAATCGGGGCGCTCACTGCAGGACGGCAACGGGAAGTTTTTGACCTTTTGGTTTTCCCTTTTTGGCCCATTATGCCCATTTTTAGTTGAGGTCCCAAAAGTGTGATCAGCTTGTATTTCCGGGCCCTTTGGGCAAGTAAGTAAGGGTAAAAACATTTCAAGTCCATTTTGCAACAAGGCGGCAATATCTCGCATCTTATGACCGATGACTCGAATTGAAGTTGTGGTTGGGCCACTGCAAGTTTTGGCGCAGATAGATGGATACATTTATGTTGCACCACTTGAGATTGGCGGATATCCCAGCATGTATAGGGGATTATTCATCGCGAGTGGTGCGGGAGTTTCTCCATCCACAAGCTCCAAGTATTGCAAGCTATCCCATTTTCGGATTATTCCGGCGGGAAGTAGCGCGTTCCATGTTATATTTTCCCTGCAGATTTGCCTGGACCCGCAATAGCCATCCCTGGTGGAGGGATCTCAGTTGAAGATGACCGTTATTGGGCAGATTAATTTGCCGGGCTGGTTCAAGAACAGTCCCGAATTATTATGCTAGATGGTAGTTTGTGCCCTTGTAGTTGTGTAGAAGGAAACCCTACCAAACGAACTCAGGATTGATGAGCCCCTATTCAACAGTTCCTTCTCTTGAGGAGACACCCTGCTTTCATCCTGGCGGAATAGGGCTTGGTCCAAAGGACCCTCTTGAATGTGACCCGCCCCCCCCTGTGTTTGGCAACTTCCCGTTTGGAAGGAGGGTATCGTGCAGCTTCATTCTTGGTGGGAGGCTGATATGAGGGGCAAGTAACAACTTGCCTTGCTGTGTTATTATTGTTATGACTTGAATTGGTGTTATTGTACCTCCCAACCTCATGTTTGTAATCGTCAATGCCCTTCTGGCATGGAGACATTCAGCAAACCGTTGTTCATATCGCACCCACCACCAACTGTCCTGGTCTTAACGCAGTCAGGCACGCATGGACATGCAAACACGTGCCTGCTAGGGACGGCTGGCATGGGCTGTGAGTTTCTACCTAGAGTTCCAAGCTGCTGTCCTGATCGCCTGGCTAAAATTGATGATGTTGCCAAACAATGGCAGATGGCGTGTCTATGCGTAAAGTGTTAGTGAGAAAGCACAGGGGTGCTTGTGAGTTCTTGGACACACACACACAGGCGAACAGCTTGAGCGCTTCAGGCTTGTGCATGTTGATCACCACCATGCAGGGAATTGCACCGTCCACTTAATCGAATTGAAACTTGAGTCCTTCAACTTGTCAGTTTGATCATTTTCCTTGGAAAGAGACGATAAGTAGCCCGCTAGATTTGACGCACAGCCACCTGTCGCAATGTGAACGGCAGTTGCCATTTCAGGGAGACCAAAATAGAAAGAAGGAAGTCGTTGCGATCATGTGGCTGTGGGTCAAAAATATGTATCGAAAATGGAACCCTGGTAAATGGAAACAAGGACTCAAACCAGCGGTCCCTGGTCGTTTTATTTTTGACCCACACCCATGTCAGGACGGCTTGCGAGACACTGAGACCGAGTTCGGCCCGCTGAGCGCTGTGGAGCTCAGGCGTCTCCGCTTGCTGGAGGGATGGTTCGGACTTCCGGCGGACGCTTGGGCCCGTGTGACCGGGTTTCCTGTACTTTCTCTCTTTGGATGGCGTTGAGCCGCTTAAGCATTGTGGTGAGCTTCCTTTTGATGGGATGAGGGTTAAGCATTGTGTGCTTGGCCATTTCCAGGGGAGTGTCCTTTTGGTGGGATGATGTGGAAAGGGAACATATAGGGACCCTTCTTCCCTGATGCGCTAAAATGAGACCACCCAGTTTGGGTGTTCCATGATTTGGAGATGTCCTGTTCAGCTCGCAAACAATAGTAGGTTGACAGAAAACGACGTTATGCTCGGCACCTCACTGGACATGGTTTTGCTGGGAAGTATTCTTTATTTGAACGCACACCCAGCCTCACATGTCGGAAGATATGAGCCAATGCCTGTGAACTCATTCATTTTGATATGTGCCATGCTGACAAGTCTGCTTGCACCCAAAGGAGGCATCCCAAACATTGTGAAAATAATATTCAATCTTGACGATTTTGTTCTTTTGTTTTGTGGCCATTTCGCGGTGCATTTTTGGTTTTCTCCCAGGCCCCTTTGCTCCTGGCATTCTTCTATCTTGGGTTCACACATCTTCGAACTGCAGACCGTAGAAAGACGCCAGCAATCTTTACCAACCTGAAGCACTGTTTATGGCCGCCCTCCCTGCCAATCTGATCTTAGCACGTCTATGTGTGGCGATCTTGAGATCGTTTGGCCATCGACATGGGAATCGATTCCCACGAGCCTAAAAGAGGCAAGAGACAGAGAATCTCCATGCCTCTCCGTTCCCCGAAATGCGGTCCCATGACAGATGAAACAACTTATTGGTTCAACACCAGACCAACAGACTATTTTGGTGGGTCTGGGGCCGGGGGACTCCATCGGATGCTCAAATTGGGCTTCAGATCCCCGGCCGCACATCGCGTCTTGCGTCCGTGCCCGGAATTAGATGGAACTTTCCAGGCGAAGAGCTTTGTTCTCAGGCACCTCATTCAACTTTTCAGGTTCGGAGGACATTTGCTGGTTTGCGTTGGCCTCGTTGGCTTAGCATCGGCCGAATCAATCTAAATGATAGCCGTGTTGGGTGTCTTGGATTTATATTTATTGGTAGGGTGCATCTATTTTTCTCTTAGCTGATAGGGAGCATCTACTTGTTGGTGTGTACCAGTACTCCCAGAGGAGCAGATTGCCGGTTTGGCCTTTGCTTCGGCTGAGGAGAGGATTGGGCTGCTGGAGTGGGATGCGGAGCAGGGCTCCATGGGAGACTTCCCCGGGCCCCACGCCATCCTCAAAGGCGGCGATTGTGGCGGGGTTGGCTTGGAGGGGTTCCATTTATGAACAATTCGCCTCTTTCAGTTGTTTTTTTCTTTTTTCCCGGGGCGAGCGTGGGGGGGAGAAGTCCATCAGGATTAATAGGGCCCGCCGCTGTTTTTGTTTTGGTTATTTCGGAGGGGTTCCATCGAGGGAATCCACACTTTCACGTTTTATCGCTGCACAAATCCGGTTTCGTTCACTGCTTTGAGTCTCTGGAGGCCTTAAGCGTGTTCTTTGATGTACCCAGCGCCAAACGCCGGAAGGGCCTCTGTTTAGGTGCTACCTGGTTTCAGCAAGGGCTATAGGGCGGCTTTTAGGCCGTTGTAAGCATCTTAGAATCAACCATGAACGGGTTTTGGGCGCTCAACTCTGGCACCAAACATGGTGCAAACCACGGGTGGTCCTTATGAAGTAGACACATGTGATGTGCGGTGAGTATGTGTGCATTCTGTTTTGCGGTGAAGTCATCTAGTTATCATCAGCCAGAGTGACAGAGGTTTGCAGTTTTGAGCCTTTGGGTTGTTCTCGATGTTTGTCCATGTGCGTTTTTTTGCTAAGTCTTAGCAGTACTTGCCAAGGTGTCCAGAAGTCATTTCTTGTGAAGCGCTTATGACTCACGCGTGCGCATCATCCCTCAGGAAGCCTCGAGGATTAGGCAGGCTGGATGCTGAGCAAAGCTTTGTAGAGCATGGGGCGTTCTTTGTAGTCGAACTCAATGCAATTGAGGTCATGTGTGGGTTGACGTGTACTCCTTGCAAGAAGTGGTGCAAAGCTTGTTGAAACCACAAAAGGAATCGCGTGCATCACTCAGATCCGCCGATTGGCAAGGCCAAGAGGCTGTGAATATGAAGGACATGGTGGAAGGGTGGAAGGACATGGTGGAAGGACATGGTGGAATATGAAGGCTGTGAATATGAAGGACATAGTTTGGAATTCTCTTTCAAGTTTTCGGCCAGCGGGGCTCCGGTGGAGCTTCAGACCGGCACAGCGAATCCAGCTGCGGATGGGTTCATCGGAACTTGCCCCGACGGCTACGATACATGTCTTCTGTCAAAACAGGGGACTCCAAACATGGATTTCGGTTTTCCATTCGTTTTTGCTTTCGTTTTTCCTTTCGGTTTTCCTTTTGGGGCAAGGTCAAAAGGGCCTCAAAATTCGACGCACACCTGGACAAGCCGTGAGAATGGGACTTGCCGGGGCCGGGCCGCAAGAAACGCAGGCGGCGCGCAGCTGGTCGCAGACCGCCTGGCGGCGGAGGCGCAACGTCTAGGCCTCCAGGCTCGGAAGCCGAGCTGTTGCATAGCTTGGTGGCTCCCAGCCATCCCCTTAGCTTTTTGAGCCTTCTTATTTTTATGTTTATTTCCATTATTTTAACTTTAGCTTTTTAGCCTTTTTTTTATATTTATTTCCATTTTACCGATTTTACCCATTAAGAAGTGAACTTTTAGCGGGGGATCAGTTTGGCAGCCCAGATGGGCCTTTGCTCGAAAGCTGTGGGTTTCCTTATGGTTTTGAGGCGCGGTTTCCTTATGGCTCGAAATGTGCGATTTAGGCGTTGGTCTCCTTATGGTTTTCCTTTGTAAAGACCAACAGAAAGGGGTTCCACCGGTCCGTGTCAGGGGGAAAAGCGCCATCTTGCACAAGCGGCAACAAGAGAAGAAAGCCCACCTCCTTTGTACAGCCAAGGCCTCCTTCATTATCCCGTTGCCTTTCGCTTCGCTTCGCCGCGAGGTGCACCTCGGTGAGGAAGTGCTGAGCCTCGAAGAGACGGAGCAGGGTGTGGTGGTCGTCTCCACAGGCGGCTCCATGACGGCGCGAGCAGCTGTGGTCACCGTGTCCTTAGGCCAGGGGCGGGGGGGGCTGCGGGGGCTGGATGGGGGGTGGATGGTGGGTGGGTTGGGCGGCGGGGAGGGCGCTCACGGGCATTGCGTGTGCATCAAGTGTGGGTGTTTTTAGAAGCAAGTCGACGTGAGCGTGACCGTTTGTGTTGTGGGTATGTCAATCAGTTCCTTTCAACGAAGGTTTGCAAAGACCACCAAAGACCCATTGTTGTATGACCACCTTCCAGCTGCTCAAACAACAAACTAGGATGTAGCAGTTGTGGTTTTGACTTAAAGCTGCGGTGGCTATGTTGCTTTCGTGAATGACAGTCCGGTCGAAGTGCAACCGCCCTACCGCAGCCTTCAGCTCAAATTGTGGCGGGGGGCCCGGGTCGGGGGACGCCATCGCCGATTTGTTCCATTGACGATTTGTGGTTCTACTTTTCACGCGCTTATGGTTTTTCAGAGGTTGCTTAAATGTGACTTTGTCTTGGCAAGCCCTGAAACCGGCAATATGGACATCGAGATTCTCTCCAAGCATCCCTATTCTCTATGTAGCTGTACGATATAGCTTGTTGACCATCACTTCCCCAAATCTGTGCCTGTGAGCCATTCCCACGTAGGATGCCAAAGCAGGGGGTCCCTGCGAGGATCTTCGTTTGACATGGTAGCAGCTAGGCATTTGACCTCTGGATTTGACCCGCTGACCTGCGCATGCGAACCATATTAATACAACCCCAAGGACCATTGAGAGGTGACTCTTCCCCAGAATTAGCTCCCTTTTTGAGCTCCCTTTTTGTTTGTTTTTTTGCTTTGTTTGGGTTCCTTTGTTTTCCACTGACCAGGCAAAACATATTATTATTCTTTGCCGGGTCCTAATTCCAGCCTAGGTGACTGGTGAATCAGCGAAGGCTTCCCTTGGCTTGGCTGTGTGTGGGTCTGACAGGCGTGCTGCAGTCGCGGCCGGACCTGGTGCGGCCCCCCCTGCCGCAGACGCAGCGCCTGGAGATGTGCGGCTTGGATTGGCATCCAAGGGTGGAGCCTTGATCTTCCAGGACCCTGAAACCCAGAGGAAGAACAAGGTAATTTCCGTTTAATGCAAGCAAGTCTACAACCATCTTGCTAGAGCTGTGAGTGAGTTTTCAGGGGATGAGAAAACAAGAAGGACCCAATGGTTCAGGGTTCTTGGACAACTAGGGAGTGGGTGGCTGTTTCTTGAATTGCGGGCTTCTCCTGTTGACCCCTGTTTCGCACGGCTAAATGGGTCATGTTTGCTCGTGGTGAAAGTCACACGTTGCGCTCTGATTTAAAGGACCCCCTTCTGAATCAGATGATTTGTAGATGTATTTTTGTTGGAACCCCATCACGTTGCAGCAAGGACGGATTTACTTCGGCCGTAGGTGAATTGATGCTGTAACTTGCTGGCTGTCCCGTATTGGCCCAACTGCTCAACTGTCCGCCGACTGTGAGGTGAAGTTAGCTCAGCTGTAAGCTAAGGAAAGGGCCCAGCAATCCAATCTGACTTTCTCGTGCGTCCTTCGAATTGGTATTGTGCCTTCCTGCCATCGCTGGCATTGCAGGCAACTGTTGGCAAAATCTTTCAGGGGGGGTTTGTGACCTCTAGAAGGTTCTTTTCTTGGTCCCTTGATTTGGTGAATCATTTGACTATTTGAGCGTGTATCCCTGAAGTGCTGGTTGGAGACAGGAGTTGCCAATCGGACAACGCCAGAACACGCGCTGGCCGAGGCCACTACAACAAGCTCCTGCTCAGAGTCACCGAGTCCGCGAGGGCCTGAGCTCAGAGTCTCCGAGTCTCCGGCATCGGCGCACAGATCGAGCAGTTTTGACCTTCACGACCTGTGGAGGTGTCGACCTTTGACCTGATCTGCTCCACCAGGGTATCGCCGCTTTGATTGTTCGGTCGAGTTTAGGACCTTGGATTGGCATGGATCACCCATCGTTGCTCGCGAGGTGATCAAAGCAAGGGGTTGAGAAGCAAGACCCAGCAGAAGGGAGACCTACCCCACTCCACCATTTTAGGGTACGATGTCAACCTAGCAGCCAAATCTCGCTGCAATCAGTCGGTAAAATTACGCACTTCTGCCTGCCTTGCTGTGCTCTAGTGCTCTGAGGGTGAGAAGCTGGAATTCGCTATGGGTTTGTCTCCACACTTGTCGGTTGGGCCCTTTGCCCTAAGCCGCCTTTTAAACTGCGATCCCACATCCCTGAGGTTCCAACCCTCAAAACAACGGGGGCTTGATAGACCCACCATTGTTTTCCTTGGGACCTAAGGGAATTCATCATCTAGATTGGGTCAACCATTGGCTAAATGGGGGTTGAAGCCAAATGAACAGATGACCAAGGGCGCTAAGCTTTGTTTCGAGACGGGGCCACATCCTCGTGGCCTGAGGCGGCGGCGCGGTTTCCAGTCTTCACAGACATCGACGCTTGGCTCCCTGATGTTTGTTGTCGTTTTCCTCAAGATTGCCAAACTTTGAATTCGGAAATGGCCGCCCTGGCCGGTGAGTAATGGCTGGAAACATTGAGCATCCAGATGAAAAGGGAGTTGAAATTTGACCCATACCTGGGTCCTCCGTCTCCGGGTGACTTATCAGTTTTTCTGTTTTCCGGGTTATTTCTAGGAGACCCTCTGAAAACTAGTGAAAGTCAAAGACTAGGAGTGGTTGTTGGGGGAAAACATTGGAAACACGTGTTGTTGTCTGTTTTTGTTGTTTGGGCCCGCAATTATACAACTCTGTACACTAGCCCAGCATGTCTGCAACTATGTGCACTCGAGTGGGTATTCTATCGCTTTTACCGAAAATGCACTCTCCGAGAACTCTGTTTTTTCCTGATTTGCGGGTTTTGTTGATCGGTTTGGTTTTTGGCTGAGTTTCAGGTGTGGTGCTTTCCTGTGTTGCCAAATTGTCACCCAAAGGCGAACAATTCTGAATAATTCTGAATAACTTTCGATTATTTCTGAATTGGAGGGCTCCTTCCGTCAAGTTCCGCATAATTGTGATTTCATTTTGTTTCAGGAAAGTTTTAGGTTGCACACCAATTTCCGGGAGTGAAAATCAATTTCTAGGGGCTTTACCACAGAAACTAGGAGCTTGAGAACTCTGTTTTTTTTGCGCTGAGACCCTGAAACCACTGGTAGTCTCCGGATTTCACGCTAGCTTTGCACGATTTGGACGATCCTGGTATGGAGGTTTTAGCCTTGCGCCACCCCATTGAAGGTCAGGCAAGGACTTCAACATTTTGCTTCTCAAAGCCTTTTGGTCGCTGTCTGGGGCCATTTCAGTAGGACTTGATCAAGTGATGCGCAGTTGTCAGGAATTTTTTGGGTTGGTTTCCAAGTCAGTTCGCCCTGCAAACGTTGCGGTTTCCCTTCGGTTTCCCCATTTCAAGCAACCCCCAAAAAGTACCCTCTGGAAAGACAAACCCATTTGTCAGCTTTAGAAACTTCGTTTTCCCCCAGAGACAAGCAGGCACCCTGCGATTCCTGCAGTAGTTCTGGACCCATGTCTGAGCCTTGGTTTGTGGGCGCGAATCGATTGAGTGCTGCCCCTGAGAATTAGGCGACTGTTCAAGACACATTTGGGGTCACCCAACATGGTGGCAGGTTCAGTTTCCCTTCCCTTGACTGTGTCAAGTTTCGAATCCTTCGTGGTCAGAGGTAAGACCTTAAGTTCATGACCACAGCACACACGCACACACACACACACACATGGCCTGGGAAAACTGAGGACTCCAAGCAGTTTTGGCAGCTATTCAACTATTGGCCCCTGACCGGAAAGCCACTGCTGCGACTCGAAGCAAGTTCGTGATCGTTCATGTTTTGGTCGAAGAGATGGGCGCTCGGCGCAAGTTGTTTGACCTATGCTCACTTTCTCCTAATTGATCCTGGTGTGTTTATTGGGGTCGTCCATTTCTGGAGCTAGCAGTGACACCAGGGCATGTGCACAGTAGATCCATGGGTGCTCTTGTGCATTGCTTCCCTTTTGTGTTGCTTCGTATCTGAGCGATGCGGTCCTGTGCGAGAGCTTGGTCAGGCTCAGTTGATCTTGATTCTAAGTGTTTCTTCCATTTCAAGGGAACCTTCTTCTCAGAAGCCAATAGTTGTTTTCTTGAGATTTAAGGTCGATTTTAGCCCAAAGCACACTTGAGCAGCTCTACAAAAACCCTTTACATGCCCAGTAAGAGTTGTGTCATTGGAGGGCCCCGCACAAGCAAAACCGGGCACAGCGTAACAGGGCGCAAACACTTTTTCGGGGCGCATGCTGCATAAGCACGAGCTTTAAACATTGTTGAATGGCAGGGGCTTCACCGATAAAAAGCGAAGACCCAGAAAAGAAGAACAACGCCAAGTTATTCTGCCTGAGAGCAAATCTTCATCAACTTCGTACTCCGAGTCATCCATGTCAGTTATCTTGAACGGCGGCGGCTGCATAGAAGAAAAAGGAGACCGTGTACGCATTTCTTGAGGGGCCCACCCAAAATGCCGACACGTAAGCAGCGAGGAAGCTTGACATGCTTGTTGACCGCTGCGTACGCTAAAACATGGGTCGCGTAAGAAAAGTGCCAGCTCGCGTATAAGCACCCTTCCACGACATAGGGATTCATGGATACTTGCAGAGTTGCTCACTTAGAACAGATGTCGATATTATTGCTAGATCACTTGTTGATTGCTTGATTGCCTGACTGGTGGGCGTGGGTGGGTTGATTGGTCTACATCCAATTTGCGCTTTTTCCAGATATGTACATAGAGTATTGTGCATTATAATCTTGCCTGCCCGTGCCGCTTTTGTGACTGTTGCAAGAGACAAGTTTACCCAAGCGGACATTTCACAAAGAAACCCATTTTGACAACTATACAAGCAGCCAAGTGGGCATTTGGGCAAAGCCCTGATGGTTGTGTTGCTATTCAAGCTCGCTGGCTCTGTTGACAGTATTTGCTAGGCACCTTGTTTGCATGTTTGCATGTCTCAAAGAGTTTTCCATGCATTCGCATCAACAGAATATTGATCGATGCAGGTCACTTGCCACTTTGGCGCCGGAGGTGATGGAGCTGTCGGATGAAGAAGCCAAAACAGTGCCCCAAGCTGCATGGTAGCCGTGCTGAAGAAACCTCCTGGCCTTCCCGAGTGCTGCCATTGGACCCTCTTAAAGGAAACCCCCAGGCCGGCAAGCTCTTCTCCCTAGTTTTAGGTAAAATCTATTGGACCATCCCCCAGGTAGCAGAACCGTCTACTCATTCCCTTTGGTTCAATCACAGGGGTTCAAGTCAGCAGCAATCCAAACCAGCACCTAAACCAGTGGTAGGCAACATGCAAATCATTAGCAAAAAACGCTAAGTGGCTACACTGTGGCTCGTCTTGCTGTTCTGTTGTGCATGTGATACTAGTGCGCATGATGATTCAATCTTGACATGACGCAGTGCTCAAGGCGACCGCCTCCGGTGTTGGGGCCGTTTCTTGATGTGATCACGCTGCTAGGCTTAGTGTCGCATCCAAGTGCACATGCTTTCCATGAAGATCGAGACATATGCGCATATTGTTTGACGCATCGCTCATAGGCTGCAGATGTTACATACAGTATTCGTGAAGTCTCCAAGACGCCAGACGCAGATTACAATTACTGCCTCTAAACTCTGCATACTGGGTACAACTCCTACTCAACGCACAGTCATGACTCATGACGGCTCTTGTTTGTTTGTGAAACATCTCTCCCCGGCTGGGCGCATCTCCAAATGAAACAGGAAACCGATGGTTCAGAGCTTCTTTCCCTAGCCAGCAAACTCTTCTAGGTGAATTTCATTGCCTGCGAACCAGTCAGTTGATCACCTTTTAACTGATTGTTTGTCGTCATTCCCTCATTCCACGAGAGCCCAGTGCGAGTTCTTCCGCTTGTTGTTTGGCAGAAGCAACTGGGTCCCTCAAAGTGAACGTATTCGTGTGAGAAAAACACAAAAACTAGGGCCTGGTTACCCTTGAGCCACCATGAGCATCGATTTTGGAGGATGTCACGTTGGACCTTGGGAAGAT